CAATTTTTGCTTGCAACGATATATGCTATTTAGGTTGAATCATATCAGTGGTGCGTTTTTTTTTATGCCTACTGTATATTCTTTATTCTTTAATTTTTTCGATAACGTCATTGATGATTCAAAAATATTTCTTATTTGTAAAATAAGTTGTCATTTTATCAACGATTTTTATATCATAACATTCTTTTTCTATATAAAGAAAACTCAAAAAACAAACAAACAATTATTTACTTTATTAATGTCCTGCACACTGCATACTGTATTACATTTGATATAATAGTCCGAGAATTTGATATACATATTAAGTATGGTACGAGTTTGTTATACGTTACTCGAATTATATCTCCGACTGCGGACATCTTTACGTATTACTCTTGATTTTATACTTAAGCTTAACTCATACGTTTAAGATCGGAAATCAAGTTCGAAAGATGTCAGGTAATAAAAAACTGTATATTTTAGAACAAATAATTACTGTATACATAACTAATCCTTTAAATAAAATACTAGGCTTTATTAATTATCTTGTATGGTTAAAAGATGCGATAAAAGATAACTTTTTCGTTTATAATCACCATTCCATTGTAAAAGAAATTGAAAGGGGAGATTCAAATATTGTGGAATGCGCAGAGTTGGGAACATCAGAAAGAAAGGCTGTATTGAAAAACCAGAAAACAGATGCTGAATCGCAACTAGACGAAATATTTTTGAAAGACTTTAAACGTGAGGTAATTAAGAAAAATCCAATCGTGCCTAACTCTCTGAAGACATTTAATATTAAAAAAATTTTTTGTCAGATAAAGTTGCTTAAAGTTTTGCATCATCCAAGCCTTAATAAATTTTACGGTGTGACGCGAGGTTCTTGACTATATGGCGCCTAGCTTATATTTTTAGCTCACAATTTTTAAATAATTTTATTAAGATCCAACAAGGCAAACATATATGCTTGTATCGCAATATGCAAATGAAAGAAATCTTTGTGAATATTTAACGATTCATAGGGATTCACTTAAATGGGAGGATAAACGACAAATATCTTTAGACATTGCGAGAGGGATATGCTACTTACATTCAAAAAACATTATCCATGGAAACCTGGTACAGTAGCTATTTCATAATTAATTAATTTACTTATGCTATTGTTCATATTAATGTTGAATTCTCTATTAGCATTTTAATAACATTTTAGTGCACAATAGCAGAATGATGATAGCAGATTTCGATCTTTCAAAATTTTTAGATAAAAGCATGATGTCAAATAATTCGTTTGTTAAAGGAATATCGGGATATTTTGATCCCCGGTGTGTTCCTACACTTGGATCTAAAAGAAACAAAAAATCCGACATCCTTAGCTATGGAGTCGTTTTATGGGAGATTTCGCATTTTCAACATCCAATTTCACCACTTAATCTGATTGAAGGAAATCATAAAAAACTCATCGAATTGCATGAAATATGCCAGAATATAACTCCAGATGAAAGACCGAATATAGAAGACATAATTTCTATTTTGGCAGACTCTTACATTTTAAAAGACTACAGTGACAATAACAAAAAATCATTAAGCCAATGTTATTATAGTACTTATTCCTATCCAAGAGATTTAATATTAACAACGCAGGAAAGCTATACAGCATTAGACACTAGACAAGAGGACATACAATTTAGAAAAAGTATATCTGCAGCAACGGCTCTTCAAAACTTGCGAAGTGAGGCCAAAGAAATGTTTAGAACAGGAAATTTCGTAAAATCAGTAGAGCTTTGGGAAGTCATTCTCAATAACCCTTTACATACTCCAGAAGATCAAAAAAATGGTTCAAAGTGGGATTTAACAGGAAAGTTTATAGATAATTTAGTAGGAGAAGAGCTGATTGGGGCATTAAACAAGAACATCATCCTAACAGAATTGAATTTGCATAATAGTAGAATAAGAGAATCGACAAGAAAAACGCTGGCAAAGGCATTAGGAAAGAATACCACCCTAACAAAATTGAACTTAAGTAGTAACAAAATAGGAGATTCGGCAGGAAAAACACTGTTCGAGGCACTAAGCAAAAAAACAATTTTGATGGAATTAAACTTAAATGATAACGGAATAGGAGAATCGGGAGGAAAAGCACTAAGTGAAGCACTAAGAAATAACATCACATTAGATTACTTAGACATAAGTGAGAATAAAATAGGAGAATTATCAGGAAAAGCACTGGCTGAGTCATTAAGCAAGAATACCAACCTAACAAAATTGGACTTAAGTAGCAATAAAATAGGAAAATTGGCAGGCAAAGCATGGGCAAAAGTACTAAGTAAAAATACCACTCTGACTAATTTAAATATAAGTTGGAATGGAATAGGTGATTCGGCAGGAAAAGAAATAGCCGAGGCATTAATCAAGAATAATACTCTGACGGAATTGAATTTGAGTGGTAATAAAATAGGAGAATCGACAGGAAAAGCACTAGCCGAGGCATTAAACAAGAATACCACGCTAAAGAAATTGTACTTGAGTAGTAATAAAATAGGAGAATCTGCAGGAAAAGCACTGGCCGAAGCGCTAAGCAAGAATACCGTTTTGACGGAATTAAATTTGAGTGGCAATAAAATAGAGAGATCGGCAGGAAAGGCACTAGCCGAGGCACTAAGCAAGAATACTATCCTGACTAATTTAAATGTATGTAGGAATGAAATAGGAGAATTGGCAGGTAAGGCACTGGCCGAGGTACTAAGCAAGAATATCACCCTTACTAATTTAGACATAGGTGGGAATAGAATAGGAGAATCGGCAGGAAAAGCATTAGCCGAGGCACTAAGCAAGAATACCACCCTGACTAAATTAAACATAGGTGAGAATGAAATAGGAGAACCGGCAGGAAAGACACTAGCTAAAGTACTAATTAAGAATACCACCCTGACGGAATTGAATTTGAGATACAATAAAATAAAATCGTCAGGAAAAGAACTAGCCGAGGCACTAAGCAGGAATACCACTCTGACCAATTTAGATATAGGTTGGAATGGGATAGGAGATTCAGAAGGAAAAGCTCTAGCCAAGGCATTGTGCAAGAATACCACCCTGAAAAAATTAAATATAGGCTTAAATGAAATGGGAGAATTGGCAGGAAAATCACTGGCCGAAGCACTAAGCAAGAACACCGCCCTGACCAATCTAAACTTATGTTATAATAAAATAGGAGAGCTGGCGGGAAAAGCACTGTCCGATGCACTAAGCAAGAATACTACACTAACGGAGTTGGATTTGAGGGGTAATAAAATAGGAGAATCGGCAGGGAAAGCGTTAGTCAAGTCGTTAAGCAGGAATACCACCTTAAACAATTTAGACATAAGTAAAAATGGAATAGGAGAATCAGCAGGAAAGGCATTAGCCGAAGTACTAAGGAAAAATATTACACTGACAGAGTTGATATTGAGTGATAACAAAATAGGAGATTTTGCAGGAAAAGCACTGGCCGAGATACTAAGTGAGAACAATACACTACATTATTTAAATATAAGTAAGAATGGAATAGGAGAATCGGCAGGAAAAGCATTGGCCAAAGCACTATGCAAGAATACCACACTGGGTCGTTTAGATATAAGTGAGAATGAAATAGGAGAATTGTCAGGAAAAGCATTAGCCGAGGCACTAAGCAAGAATAGTGCACTGACTGAATTGATTTTGCATAGTAACAAAATAGGAGAATCGGCAGGGAAAGCATTGGCCGAGGCATTAGAAAAGAACGACACTCTGATTACTTTAGATATAAGCGAGAATAAAATAGGAGAATTAGCAGGAAAAGCGTTGGCCAGGGCACTGTGCAAGAACAACACGCTGGTTAATTTAGATATAATTGAGAATGGAATAGGAGAATCGGCAGGAAAAGCATTAGCCGAAGCACTAGACAAGAATACCACCCTGGCTAATTTGAATTTGTGCGGGAATGAATTAGGAGAATCGGCAAGAAAAGCACTGACTGAGGTGCAACAAAAGAACATTTTCGTATTTATTATGTTCTAAACTACGATCGAGTTTATTAAAATACGAATGGTAAATACTTTAAAACAAACTTTTAATTTGAACTAATGAATTTAAACTCAAAAATCAAATGATCTCAAAAAATTTTTGGCAATCTTATATACGGATAGAATTTCGTTGATAATTTAAAGAATTGTATATTGACTAAATATGAATTAAATTATTATTAGTAGTATTTGATGGTATTACCGTTTTGGGGCAAATAAATCGTATTGAGGGATTTTGAATAAATGTTGTCCTTAATGGATTGTCTTATATTTTATTCCTTATCGCAAATTCCATATCCGATTTCAATATACTGTATAATGAATTTTGATTAACAATTTTTATTAAAAATAACATTTTTTGTCTAAATCGATTGATGATAGAGATAACTTTTTATTTTGAAAAATAAGAATTGATCTTTTATCCAACTTGCCTAATATTGATCTTATCTTAAAACCATTAACTATAATTGAAGATAGAAGGGACAATTAATTAATCTTGCTTTAGAAAAAAGTTTTATTTTTAGTAGTAGTAAAAGAGAGAAAAAAATTTCTTGAAAAAAAACTAACTTGAAAAGCTCTTTTATACTTGTCTTATTGAAATTTTCTAAAAAAGAGTATTTTTTAAAAAAATTTTTTTTTGAATATAATATATATACAATTTGATCTTGCTATAATAGATCTGTTAGGTTGAAAAAATATTTCCATTATAGTAAATATCCATTATATTATTATATAGTGTAATAATAAAAAATTAAATTTGTTCCAGAGTATTGCTCTATTATAATAAGATTAGACTGTATATATTTTATTATATATATATATCTATCTAATTCACAATCAATATATTAATAATTATATATATATTGTGGATCAAAAATAATTGAACAATATATTAATTTTTATTTTTGTGATATTTCAATAATTGATAAATTAAAATTAAAATCTATATTAATATATTTAAAAATATAAAAAACAAGTTTATTTAATAAAATTTTAAAATATATTATTAAAATTTTCTTAAAATTTAATTTTAAAAAACAAATGATTTTAATTATATTGCAAAATAAAAACAATAAAAATTATTAAAATTATTTTAATGTATAGATTTGTCAAATAAAAGTTATAATAATAATAATATAATTTGTATTTTTATTTTTATTAATACAAAAAAATTATTTAATAATTAATTTAACTTAAAATTTGGTCAAATTTTACTAAATATATATATATATTATATTAAATATAAAGTTTTTAAAGGTTTTGAAAATTTTTTAAAATTAATTTTATATAATAAAAAATAAACTAACTTTAATAATATTTATCAAATATAATAATAAGTCTTTTATAATTTTTATAAGCTTAAAACTTTTATTTATTTTTATATTTAATTTTTTTAAAATTTTTTATAATAAAATTTTAATTTCTATTCATATTATATATACAAATATATATATATAATTTTTAATACTTTTCTAAAAATTTTGTTTTGACTTTAAATTAATATTTTTAAATAAATTTATTAATAAAGCATTAATAAAACTTCAATATTTTATTAATAGATTATAAAAAATATATACAGTGTATAATAATAATAATTAGATTGATATTTTTTATGATACTTCAATAGATAATAAGTTAATTGAGATAAAACTTTAAATATACAATATATATTTTATAATCTAATCAATAAAATATTAAAGTTTTATTAATGCTTTATTAATAAATTTATTTGAAAATATTGATTTAAAGTCAAAAAATTTTTAAAAAATGTATTATAAATTATATATATAAATTTATAATATATATACAGTATAATATAGATAGAAATTAAAATTTTACTGTAGAAATATTTTAAAAAAATTAAATATAAAAATAAATAAAAATATTAAGCTTATAAAAAAATTATAAAAGACTTATTATTATATTTAATAAATGTTATTAAAATTGATTTATTTTTTTATTATATAAAATTACTTTTAAAAAATTTCTAAAATATTTAAAACTCTACATTTAATATAAATTTATGTTTTTTAATAAAATTTAACTAAATTTAAAGTTAAATTAATTATTAAATAATTTTTTATACTTAATAAAAAATAATAATTATTATATATTTAAAGTTTTGTCTTAATTAAATTATTATTTATTAAATTACAAAAATAACAATTTAATTATTTTTGATTTATGTTTAGAAATCACATTCAATAAAAATTTCAACATTTTCTTTTTTTCTATTTTCTTTTTTTAACAATTTTGCCTAAAATATATTTTTTTATTTTTTTCAATAGATAATTCCTTTTTTTTTTTGCTCAAAATTTTTTAAAAATATATTTACTACAATAGATAATAAACTGATATATATAGTTATATGTAATGGTTTAAGTAAAGGAACATGTTGGTCATTAATAGTTTATCATTATTAAAGGAAAACT